ATTACATTTTATACAGTATATTGAGGGACTGCATGGAGCCCATTTTATCCTCCAGTCGCGAGGCAATATATGAAATTATTATTTATTTAAAAAATTTCTGGTTTCTGATTGGCTAACAGCTAACAGCCAACTGTGAAATTGTCATATCAACTCAATGGCTAACCAAATATGGATTTTTTGCATTCATATTAGCAAAATGACGTCAAAGAGTCAATATGAAAAACATTTGGACGCGTTTGCGCCATATTACGATGACGACGAGAATATCATATTGACTCGCAGACGCCATTGGAGAGTTTAAGTTCGACTTCCGATACCAATACGGATACTAACAACATGTCATGCGCATGCTCTGTGCTCGCAAGAAGCACGAGGACAAGTGTACTGGAAGTCACCACTACCGAAGTTGGCCTTGTATAGGAAGTCGGGGGAATTGTAAGATAAACTCATATAAATCGGATATTTCATAATTTTTTCGATAAACATGTAAACTATTTGTTTATTAGCATCGCCTGAGTCATGTTTTAGTCGGAATTTTAGCTCAGCTGCCTTTTAGTATACCGCACATTTTCGGTGACGAATAATGTCTGTATACTTTATCTGTCGTGATAACTTAACGCTTTAAAATTCCCGGTACCAAAATGAGAACGGAAGTGAAAACATCGGTATCGGTATTGGTATTGGAAGTCGAACTTAAACTCTCTATTGATATGACGACGACGACGCAAATTTTTTTCCGTAGACAGTCGGACTCCTCATTGATAGTCGGACGCATCATTGACCCGCGCCCTTTGACAAAACATTCAGCGGATACTCTTCTTATTAGTGCTTCCCAGTGTGTCTTGCGCACGCAGTTGGTGATTTTAAAATATTGCATTGCTTGGTTGAGATGTCAAGATCTGAGTAGGACACATTGTGGCTTCATATCTTGTGTGGCGATGACATCTGACAAATTTTACTAAGTTATATTCGCCATTCCCACTTGCGGACATTGGTGTTTGACAGATTATGATTAATTAGCGTCGCTGGGAGAAAAAAAATATATTATAAAGCATACTAAGCATAATATTAAAAATTAAAAGTCTTGAATGATATTTCTTTTATAGTATCAATTCGTAATATTGTCTTGGTAATTAGTTGTGGAATTTAGAACGAGGCAATAATATCTCATATATACGTATCCAGTGAAATAGTGGCCGGGCTACATGATGTGATATTACTAGTGGACGGGTATTCTGCAATACTTCTATTTGTTTTTAACTCGCAATAACAGTTCTTGAGTATTTTCGGAACCAGAAAAACAAGTTTGTAGATTTACAATGGTATCGCGAAGCATATCGCAGGGCCCGCGGAGCGTATTAGAGAGTGGGGGGGCTAAATCATCAATAAAACCCCCAATTAATTAATTTAGAAAGTTTCATTTAGATTTCTATTTTAATAATTTTGGCTGTCAAAAAAAGTGGGGGGGCTAAAGCCCCCCCAGCCCCCCCGTCTCCGCGGTCCCTGTATCGTTCATCTTTCCGGCGTGGTCGAAGAACAACGTGAATGATGGATATATGGTGCACCAGTGGGTTACACAGGGTACGAAGGGATCCATCGATAACGCGCAGAGGCCTGGACGCGGATCAATGATGCGTCCGACTATCAATGAGGAGTCCGACTGTCTACGGAAAAAAAATTTGCGAAGACGACGGCTGCCGAAGGACTAAGTAATTGTTTTTTTCTTAATACAAATAAAATACAAATGTTTTGAATTTTTTAAATAAATAATAAAACAATTATTGAATTCGGTTTTCGCACAATATGAAGAATTATCCGAAGCCCTCAGTTTGCCGTTATCAATTCCCTTCGGTTGATAACGGCAAACTTCGGGCTTGATAATTCTTCATATCGTGCTCAACCTCATTCAATAATTGTTAAAGGGCATATTGGGGCAAACGCTACATCCCAATATAGTGTTAAAAAATCCCTGTCAGGAATCGTTTGAGCAGGGTAATTCTCATTCTCGCTTCACCGTGGCTTCATATAATCGTCTTTTGTTTTCAAAGGCAGGAAATCATTTTATGAGGAGGTTGAAGTACCACGTACCAAATGCACACGTGAATTCCGGGTACACTGATATCTTGAGAAATGGGATAACAGACGATAGTGATTATAAGCGTTTGAAGGAAGGTGGCGGATATGTAATACCAGATCAAAAAGAAACCTATGAAGAACCCAAAATATTGCCACAAAATCCTGGTTATGCTGAACTTAATAAGAACAGACTCAAAGGCAGAACGGAAGACGGTACTTATCAGAAACTTGTAAAACAAGACTCAAATTATGTTATACCAGCTCGTGAGAGAAGAGAGTCATATGAAGACATCAAAATGGGAAGGAACTTACCAGGCTACGAGGAGTTGGATCTAAGCAAACGCAAAGCCGAGGATTACCCTACTTACCAAGAGTTGGTCAAGACCTAAACTGCCTGACATGGATTTACACATGGATTTGTACTTGACCAAAAAGTATTGACGAACGCTAGCTTCCTCCCCATTTGCACATTCCACTGCGCTCCTGGTTCCTCATGCCCTAACACAGGGATCACATATTAATAATAATAACATACTAATCACATACTAATTCCTGGTTCCTCATGTCCTAACACAGGGATCACATATTAGAGATAGAGTATTCCTTGTCTGAACATGCTTTCGTTGGTACAGATGCAACTACCTGAAAAATATAAGGAGAATTTAGAATTTTTTAGGTAGTTGCATCGCTACCAACGAAAGCTTCTTTATTATTGCCACTACCTACACTGGCACAGAGAGTTCAAGATTATTCCTTATCTGTGCTGCGGTTTCCTGAGTTTGCTTATTATCCTTCCGAAGGATATTAATAATATTTTACACATTAATTTTTTTATTTAAAAAATCTTAACTAATAATATTAATAATTTTAAAATAAAGAGACCAATATTGCCTAGTATAATGGACATCTAGAATGGCTGAGTTGTACTTTAATTAAGTAGGATATATGTTAATTAATTAATTAATTTATTTATTTATTAAATATTAATTATTTTTTATTAAGAATTAGTGAATGTCACTATGCTATAACAGTATTTTTGCCAACAAAGTGAAATACCAAAAAGGTTACTTTTCTATTTCTCTTTTATTCCGTAAGTTTTTTTTATTCCTGACTATTGGTAGATAGTATACAATTAGGTGAAAGATGGAATGTTCCATTCAACTCGACTGTCGCCTCGTTGAATGGAACATTCCATCTTTCACCGAATTAAAATTTTCTTACCATTGCACTCATAAACATTCATTATTTGTTTTATATAATACAAAAATAGACTAATAGATTCGTATGAGAAGCATTTTGACGGATGCGACTTATCGAAAACACAACGAATGCAATGGAATAAAACGTAAGGTACAATTGCACTCGCAAAGAGTGCAATGGAATATATTCCATCGCACTCTTGGGAAATGGAATTTTCTATTCAATATCACGTGACCATAAACAGCCAATTAAACGATCATAATTTCAAAAATGTATTATATACTGAATGTATTTAAAATACTCATTAAAAATTCATAAACCTTGTGGCAAATCATGTCAGCCATAATATGTCACGTGGAGTGACCTTATATCTGATAAAACTCATCTTCATTAGTATTCTTTATATAATTCTTCAACCTAATTAGTATGATTATATAATTGTTCATCCTAATTAGCATTCTTTTGTAGTCGTATTTTAAGCTATTCAAAACAGTCGAACTCGCGTTTTTATCATATCTAAAATGCTCGGCTGCGCCTCGCGTTTTAAATATGATAAAACACTCCTTCTCGTGTTTTAAATACTACTTAAAACACTCAAACAACGTCAGCAACGACACGTCCTTTCTACGAAGGACGTGTGCATCCCTCAGTTCCTTCCCTCCAAGCTCACCATTTCCTGCTTCCCCATCTTCCCTCACCTCCTTCGGTTAGCCTATTCATTCCACACTTCAGTCGAAACACTCTCTCACTCCCTGTCTCCCATTTTCCCACTCCTAACTTCTAACTTCTCGAACTCTCGAAAGAAACATCGCGGATCCTGACAGTAAGCTTAGTGTAAGCACAAGTTTTAGACAAATTTATGCATGACAGGCGCAACTATCAATACAAACTGTAGTTATTACCAAATCAGTATTCCTTAGGTGACCGGTTCGAACCCGGTACGATAGAAAATTTTTTTTGCCTTACAACCATGTAGCAACGTTGTGAGTCCCTCTCTTATTTTCAACACGCAATTGAAATTCGTTTTAATTTTTTAATGAATTTGATGGCTCGTTTTGAGCAATAAGTTTCCAAACAGAAATAAAAAATATCGCAACAGGAATAAGCAGTTGCTAATCCCGGGTTGTCAAAGTCGTCGTTGTTATGATCGCTATTTGCATGTTGATCAACATTATTTAGCAAACCTACATACATATATACGGTCAAGATGATCGAGTCAGATAGAATACTTGAAGGAAAAAACCTGTAGAACAATTTAACAGTCTTAGTTGTAATATTTTTTGTCTATTATTTGTATTAAGAAACATGTTTTAAACTTTGCTGCGTTGTTATGTGTTGCTAAGTTATTAGGTGCCGTGTAGGTAATTAAGGGTTTAGGCGAACAAAAAAGTTGCATAACTAAGTGTATCCCAATGGATAGATAGGGATATAATTACGTGTTTGGTGTAAGCATAGTTTATTTGATTTTTATGTAAAGGAACTTGTAATGCCTTGGTGGCTGAATGGTATGGCATTACGGTTTGTCCCAAAATACGAGGGTTCGAGTCCCTCACATGGCGAAATTTTTATCGAGTTATACCCATCTCGGAAGAGATAAGTCGCGTATAGCAGATAGATTTATAACGCAAGTGTATGCCTTAAAATCAGGAGCGGGGCTTTGTGGGCAAAAATTTAGGCCTACTCTGGGGCGGTAAATCGCCTTAAATCGCCTAAAATCGCATTAAATCGCGGGTTAAAATGGTCAAATTTCTCTTAAATCGCCTAAAATCGCTTTAAATCGCCTAAAATCGCTTAAAATCATGGGCGTAATGGGTGGGTGGGGGACGAGGCGACCGCCCCCCCAGTTTCTGGCTGGGCGGTCGCCCCCTGGCTTTGTTGGGCAAACAAAGCCAGCCTGGCAATATTCGCTTCACAGTCGGGCAATATTGGTTTATTATAGAAATAAATGGGTCAAATTCTGTCAATTTTGTGGGAAATTCTGTCAATTATGTGGGAAATATGCTATCTAATAGGATTTTTTTGTAATCACTTCCCCCCCCCCCCAATCACTTCTTTCCAACCCCCTAATATTTTCCTTCCCGTACGCCCATGCTTAAAATCGCATTAACTCGCCAACATGCATTCTGTTTGATACATTCAGTCAATAATGTACTCAAGTTTATCAATTGCTGCTATTTTGCTGGCAAATCATGTATAATCCAGGTGTTTTGCAATCAAAAGTAATGCAACATGGATAAATCAAATAAGTGGATTAGGCTGACAATATTTAGTCACTCAATAGGCTCCGGTCGTTAATAAAAACAGAGCCTTTTTCTGCTTTATGCAGACTTTACAATAATTAGGCAATTCTGGGATATGAAAGACCCATAGATTCTATTACACTACCAGCAACAAAATTGAGTTACTGGTTAATTTCATTATTGGTGTAAAATGTGGAGGCTGGGCTACAATTTATATGGACTATGGTGGCTGGGTTACAAATTAATCTATAATATACATGGCTTCTCAAAGCCTAATTGCTGTTAAAACAACCGTAGGAGACTATGATAATGAGAGTCAATGAGTACGAGTATATAATAAGGTCATCCTGCAATTTGTGCACTGTTGCATGTAGATCGAGCACTGCATTGTATACAATGGTTGTACTTCGACATGTGCATGGTTATACTCTAGCTCCTAGTTATAATTATATAGGCTATCATACGAAAAACATACGTGAGGTTTAATATGAGCGAGATTTGCAAGTTTTGCAACTCTCATCTATTAAATTTTCCAGACCTGTATATAAAATAAACAGTAAAACAATGATTACATCGTACATACCATACAATCTTTGTTGTTGCTTGTTTGCAGAACACTTGACAAATTATCAGGTAAAAGACTTAGGGCCATTTAATGTACACCCCCCCCTGTGGACGAAGTCAATAAAATTTGAACCCCTAAGAAAAAAAGATCAAAGTGCCGACACAAACACCCCTCCAGAAATTAAGAAATTTTTGCCTTACCCCTCGAAAAAAACGCAAAGATCAAAGGATGCCGATGCACACAACCCCTCAGAAATGGCTTTTTCAACCCCCCTCAGAAATTTTCGTCCACAGGGGGGTGTGTATATTAAATGGAATGGCCCTTAAAACCACGATGTAGTGCGCGGTGTGCCATTTGTTTTAGTATTTTTTTTAAATAATTTAGAATTCCGACCATTTATATGCGATGTACTTCATGTAAATTAAACTTTACGGCATTACGCCGACAGTTTCCGAATGCGTGACAATACTGTTCAGTGATTCCACTTTCAAGGAAATTTCCTTTTTCAAGGAAATTTTGACCGAAAAAAGACGTTTCAAGGAAAAATCAAAGGCCTTCGAGGCCGACTCACGGATGAGATCAAATTAATTAAAGGGGGATATGATTTACAGCAGTTTTTTACAAATGGGAACCGTGCAAGGGCAAGGACATTATTTGGTAAAACACAACAAAATATAAAATGTTCCCGAACTGGGGCGAAGATCTTACAGGTTTAAACAGTTTAATTTTAACGACATCCTCGATTTTAACAATAAGAGACCGGTCATCATTTATGGAAGGGGGGGGGAGGGAAAAAATAAGGGGGGAGGGGGCATATGTAGAAATAAATGACTAGAAAGGAGGGGCTATTAAATTTTTTCAAGAAAATGACAGGAGGGGGGTTGCAATTAAACTTGAAGGAATTTGCTTAATGCTTAATAACCTGGTATCCATTTGGTTGTAAATGTTGCAACTAAATCATGGTCACTGATGTGAAATAGTCTGGATTCATCTTGTCTTGTGTGTGCTGTATGCAAATCAGTCTTTACGGATTGCAGACTAGTTAAATTGACAATGTATTATTACATCAGCTCTTGATGTGGTTAAATACATTTAAATTAAGCAGTTAACGGCGTTTGTATTATGCAGGCCACATCCGCTGAAGGGAGTCTGTGACGTCATATCGATCAAAGGGGGTTGTTTCATACCTTGTGATCAGTGTTTCAGGGTCTGGGTATTCATTCTGCCATTGTATGCTTTGCCCAGCTGCAGCAAGTTTTGCGCTTCGATACCTTTTCCCGACCCACCCACCCATGTTCATTCTAAAAGATTTTATCTGGTAGCTAGTATATGTCATTTTATTTTATATAATTTTAAATCTCACATAAAATAGGATGTATAGACCACTATACATTGTATTTCGCAGGTATGCCTTGGCAGAATTGTCATTGCTATCTCCTTTTGCTGCTAATTTTACTGATTGTTGCTCTCATTGTTGCCGCGCAGCTGCTATGGCAATACTTCGTACCATCAAGTCTAGTTGCAGCCTTAAACATGGTTACAATCGCCCAGACCAAATGGAAACCTGATTTTAGTGTTATATATAAAAATACTCCTTTTAATTATAATTTTCTGCTAATAAATATATATTTTTGGTCGACGTTAATATCTTGCCAGTTCCATATTCTTATTTAATAATTAATACTATAACGCCTGGGTATCCCCATTTGACGAGTAAAAATGAAAATGGGGGGGTCAAACTATAACGCCTGGGTATCCCCATTTGACGAGTAAAAATGAAAGTGGGGGGGGTCAAAGAAAAATATTCTAATATGCAGGGGGGCATCATTAAATTTCTGCCATTTAGGGGGGGGGGGCTTTCAATTTTAAAAATTTAGAAAAGAAAAAATTCCCCTCCCCCCCTTCCATAAATAATGACCTGTCCCTAACCAATATCAACAGTCTTGAAAAAACAATCTGATAGATTATTATAAAACTACACACCATCAAAGCAAATCTATATAAAAGTACAATAACCGTAGCTGTCAGGTGTGTATAGTGTTCAACAGAATAATTATAAGTATAAAGCTGTACCTAATACAGTCAGTATCAGTACATCCAATGACTGTGGCTTTCCGATATGTACAGTGTTAAACAGACTGACAATTTAAACATGATAACTATAATAAGTATAAAGCTGTACCCAATGTAATATATCAAATGACCATAGCTGTCCGATCTAGAGTGTTGAACAGGACAATTTAAACATGATAGCTATAAGTATAAAGCTGTAACCAATACAGTACATGCTGCATCAATGACCGTAGCTGTATGATGTACAGTGTACAGTGTTGAACAGAAAAATTTAAACAGAACTATAAAACAGCACCCTTATTGATACAACGGTGCTGCCTCAGTGTCCAATATTCTTTTTCTTTTTAAACCATTTATAATTGTTACCAAACTGTGAATAAACATAAATATCTACATTGAAAAGGGAATGGCTGCAAAAATTTCAATATCGGTCCCCCACACACCACTGTTCCTCATGTTGCTTGTGGCTATAAAATAATGATCTACTGAACTATTCATATATGGTCTAAGGACATGTTCTATACTGTTCATGTGATCCACTATTTTTTGTCTTAAAATCATGTGGTATGTTTGTCTACCGGTTAAAATATACGACAGTGCTCTAAATAAACAATTGCCATCCCCAGTAATCCGACAGAGTTTCGTTGGATTAACTAGTGGTTTTGATGTTTGTTTCGCTAATTTAAAAATAGATAAATAATTACGTCATTGAACAGACAAAGTCACGTGACAGAAAATAGCGGGAAATAAACACGTTGGTTTTAAGCTGTTTACTCGAGGTTTAACGTTCAGAAATAGGTTTATATTTGGTATATTGTAAAGTGATATAGGCCAAAGAAGTAAGTTCATGTTGTTTATCATAACTAATTTACTTTATTCAGTAGATAATTCTTGTATTTATACTTTTAGATCGAATATTACTACTACTACTATTATTATACGATATTTGGAAATTATTTGTGGTCACTTTACATACCGGTTTCTGATTCTGGCGAGCCATAAATTCGATTTCTAGCTGACCAGGGCTTAAAGGATATTCAGAAAATGACGGAGGTAACGAAGGAAGCGTTAAACGAAGCGAAAAAGAAGCGGAGATGTGCAAAATCGAGTGTTACAAGGGCAGGAAATGGCTTGGATTATTTATTGAAAAATGAGAGACCTATACCGGAAGTTGAGGAATCACTCGCTAATTTGGAAGATTTATACAAGAAATTGGTTGAAAAACACGACGAATATATTCAGTTGGTGGATGGCGATGAAGAATTTGCAACTGAGGAAGAATGGATTGAAGATTGTCAACAGAGGTTTATGCAGATAAGGATCAGAACAAAGGATTATTTAAAGGTCAAGTCACAAGGTCAGTTTGAAAGTGAAACAAACTCAGAAACAGGTTTAGTGCCCAATCAAACCGAGACAACTGTTAGTGACAATGGGCAGCAAGAGCATGACAGTATCCCTGGGTCTGGTCAAGGCCCATCCCACCAAGGTCAATCCCCAACCCACGAAGGTCAACCCCCAACCCATGAAGGTCAACCCCCAACCCATGAAGGTCAACCCCCATCCCACCAAGGTCAACCCCCATCCCACCAAGGTCAACCCCCATCCCACCAAGGTCAACCCCCATCCCACCAAGGTCAACCCCCATCCCACCAAGGTCAACCCCCAACCCACCAAGGTCAAGAACACAATAGTCCAAGTTCAAGTGAGGGTGCCCAAAGTATTTCAAATGTTCAACCTGTTTGTGGTTTCAAAATGGAGAAGCCAAAAATGCCTCGATTTAGTGGTGATGTCAGAGAGTACAGTATTTTTCGAGATGACTTTAAGCATGCTATTGAATCTAGATACACTAAACGAGATGCAATGACCTACCTTCGTGCATGCTTGCAGGGAAAACCCCTAGAGCTTATCAAAGGAATTGGTACAGATTATGATGGTGCATGGCAATATTTAGACTCAATCTATGGAGACCCCAGATATGTGTCGGACCAAGTAACCCAAGATCTGTCAAAGTTCCGACCCCTGAAAGAAGGAGAAGATTCACGCTTTTGTGATCTGGTGCATTTAGTAAAGCGTAGTTTCAATACGATGAAGGGAGTGGGAAAACCCCATGATATGGATAACAATCACATGTTATCACTAATAGAACAGAAAATGTGTGTGGAAGATAGAAAGATTTGGGCTCGTGAATTGGAAAGGAATGAAAAGCCAGCAAGCTTACAAGGTCTCATTGCTTGGATGGAGACGTAAATGAAGTCGAGGATGCGTGCAACTGCTCCACTAAGAAATCCGAGTCAGGGTTCGAGATATGTCAATCAGCTATCTGGAGGAAAACCACCAAAGTGTTGGATCTGCGACAATTCAACGCACTGGGTAGACCAGTGTGAAAAATTTAAGTCCATGAGTCCAGAGGACCGTTTGAAAACAGTAAGAGAAAACCACGCATGTTTCAGTTGTCTTAAGAAGGCCGGACGCGATCACAGAGCATCAAACTGTAGCAGAAGGAAGCAGTGTACACAGACAATAAGTGGCGTTCAATGTAAATATTATCATCATATTCTTTTGCATCCTTCAAATTCTGCAGCATCAGTGGGCGTAGCATCGGTAGAAAACAACACGGAAGCAATGCTGCCAGTTATAACAGTGAAGATATCTGGAAAGAACAATCGACACAAACAAGGGAACATTCTACTCGACTCTGGAGCACAAATAAGTCTGATTTGCACAAGTACAGCAAAGAATTTGGATTTAAAGGGAAAGGATGTTTCGATAACTATTAGAAAAGTGGGCGGTGAAGAAGAAATGTTGGCGACAAAAGTATATCAAGTTCCCATTACGTCATTGGAGTCTGGTGCGAAGTTCACAGTCAAAGCTGTTGGAATTCCACATATTAGCGATGACATTTCAAATATCAATATTGATGAAATGGTAAAAGGAATTGGAATTCCTGAAGTGAAAATTTACCGAGAATGTGGCCCAATCGATATGCTTATTGGGATTGATCACGCTTATATGCATACTGGAGATTCAAAGAAAGTCGGTAACGTTGTTGCGAGACATTCACCTCTTGGTTGGATTATTTTTGGAGCGATACCAGGCTTGCAGCAAACCAGTAGAATATTTCATGTCCAGTATACAAGACCTGTAGATCTCACTGACTTTTGGACGAGCGAAGCAATGGGAGTTAGTCAATCAAATATTGAAA